ATGAAGAGAGTTTTTCATTCCAAAAGCCTCATAATAGTATTTGAACACTAAAGAGAAAATTAAATATACTATTCAAAGTCGATGCAGCTAACATTTTCAAAGACGTGAAACATAATTCCAAGCTCTGGCAAGCCTAGAAGAAGTATCTTCATGTACTGCGTGAGTGGTGAGAATGCCAACCTCAGATCATACTGAATGCCCCTGTAAGTGCCTCAAAATGATTCTGAAGGTTTAATGATATTGGTAGATGTCTGTGGTCTCATTAACTAGCTTATACCAGTGCATTCTCCCCTAATTTATATCAATATTCTCAATTTCCTATGACAATGCCTATGTCAAATCAGAAGAGAACAACTACTCTGATTCAGAGGGAAATAAACTTGAAATTACTAAAAGATGTTAAACTAGAACTATACAAACCAAAATAATAAATCCTCATCACAAAGACTGTGAGAAAAGACAAAGCCAGTTACCAGTAGACTTCCCTCAACCATAAGCCGCAAGCCTGATTTTAATTTATATACCTGTTTTCTTTTTGTGCCATTTCACCATTGGTTATGTAAGTCCATTTTTGACACTTCCCCAAAGCATGTATAGTGAGTGTGAACAGGTACTGAGATGGTAGGATGCTATTATCAGTTGGCAGGTCCCAGAAGACTTAGAGAAACAGCTGGACAAAGCCAAAGTTAGCCTGCAGATTGGCAGGAGGCACAAGGAGCTATGGTACTACCCACAGGGGAAGGTGGCTGAGCAAGGAGGCAGAGCAGTAATGGTACGTGTACCAAACCAGGTGGCTCGTCTCTGTCGAGTGTTAACTATCATCTTTAACCCTGTAAGCTTTGCTAGAAAACATAATTTTCTGTCAGTTGGGAAATCTCAAACTACTACTATGGAGCTCAGATTTCTCACTCTTGCAGAACAATCTTAGACTGCAGTAAATCCTTTAGTGACGTTGTACTTCAGTGTGTTTATTCTTCTCAGTGCCAGGAACTGTTGGCTACTGGAGCCTCATAATTGAGTCACTTTTATAGTTAAAAAAAAAAAAAAAGCCTACTTCACCCAAGTTTAGTTTTCCTTCTTCCGTCCAGCTAACACACCATCACTGGTGATGTAAGGATAAAAGACCTAACTCACTTTATTAAATTTAAGCACCACTGAAGCATCAATCCAGCTCAAGAGATCCCACTGGGTTAACTGAAGTACCGAGAAAACTGGGTCATAGTTTAAAATCGGGTCTCTTTGTGCTTATCCTACTCCTCTCACTCCTGGATCATCATTGTTCCCATACATACTTCTCAAAAAAAGTCCTGTGTGTAAACCTCTTCTTCAGAGTCCATTTCTGCTGTGCTCAACCCAGGACTGTTAGATGAGCTGAGTGCTTGGCTTATCTGTGTGGAATTGTAACCACTCAAGGACATGAACTCCATTGCCATAGCAAGTGTTTGATGAGTAAAGCTCTTCAGACAGCCCACTCCAGGAAATTCCCACTGAGACAGGCAGAGCCTTCCTGTACCTTGTCTCCTCATTACTTGGAAGATCTTGATCATGGTCCATCTTTGACACAAGTAGTTATCATTCCACCCAGTGCCTCATTCTCCTTGAGAACCATCCTCAAGTCCACAAGCCTTTCTTTTATCCAGTCAACAAGCATTTCACTCACATCTGGTAGAAAGTCTTGGTTATTTAGTTAACATGTACTCCCCTAGCTTAAAGTTTTTCAACTTTACAAATGTTCAAAACTTACATGAATGCAGTAGGAACCAGGCAATTTTTTAATTTTATTTTATTTAAGAGGATAAAACCAAGGAAATTAAAACAATAAAACCAATCAAAAAATAAGGCAGTAAAAGTGATACAAGACTTCAAAACCTTTTATGAAACCAACAGTAATTATCATAATGTGTGTTATCGTCTTCAAATTAGCTGCAGATACTTTCAAACATAGTAAAAATCGAACAGAATAGAATAGAGTAGAAACAATAAAGCCAAAACAGTGACTTCAATAAAGGACTGCAAACAAGCTGCTAGTAAATCCAAAATGGTTACCATAATATGTATTGTTACATATTTCAAAGAGCTGCTGATGCCATCAGATTTAACATAATCAAACAGAGCAAAACAGAAAAAACCCAACCCACCAAAACACTGAAAATGATAGGGTTTCCCTGGCTTGCATCGCTTCCTGGTGAGACCTGAATCTCTACAGGTCTCACCAGTCCAGTCCAGGAATGACTGCTGAGCGAGGTTTGGGTGTGGTTGTCCCCACTCTGGGAGCAGCTGGCTCCTGACTGTTGGCCAGGTGGAGATCACCTCCTGGGGAGGCCTCTGGTTCTCTTGTCCCCACCCCCTGCAGTCCACAAATCATGCAGACTCACGGAGAGAGGATTGAGTGAGGCTGGAACCAAGCAATTTTGACCTTTGGTCTTTTCCAGACCAACAATATGTAATAAGACATTATTGCTGGGCAGCAATAAAGAGGCGCAATTCCCAGTCAAACGCACAATCGTGAAAGTGAACAAGTAATATTTCACAGTGTATTTTGCTGCTAGGCTATGATTTTCAAACTGAACCTTGTATTTGGGAAGAAGCACACTAAACTCACCACTAATCCAGAGATAAAAAAAAGTCTGAGAGAACAAAGGGTCCCTACTAAGTGGGAAGTGTAACATTTTCATCTGGCATAAAATGGGAATAGTCATGACACTAGCTCACTGCATCTTGAGGACGTTAAATGAGAGTGTCTGTGCAAATTCTTATCTCAAGGATTTAATGTACCACGAAATAAGAGCCAAACACAGAAAAGCTGACCTTATTAACAAGTTTTTTTTTTTTACTAACGTAAGATATTCAGAATAGAATTGTTCAAAATCAGTTCACCCAAAGCACTTAAGAGACTTCCAAGTCCTTTGGTGGTAGCCATTTCTTGATCCTCGCCAGCAGACCTCTGCCCTGTTCCCACCTATGGAGTAGAAAAGGATAGGATCAACCCATACTTCTTGTCCTGGATTTGAAGAGCTGTCTCCTTCCCATTATATTGAAGAATAATATTTAACTGAAGTGTATAGTATAAAGCAGAAGCCACTTAGCAGGAAAATTTCTCTGGGGCACAAAATTTTGCCACCTTCCTCTCACTGTAGTCTTACAGTCTCGCAAATAGTAATTCACAGTATTCTTTCAGCGGAACCCGGTTGATGTCCCATTGCTGAGAATTAGTGCTCTATGACATGGAACCCGTCCCTACCACAGAACTATCACATTGTGTTGTTATTTTTGCAGTTTCAAGTTCATATCACCTTACACTGAAAGCCTAGTAAGTACATCACATATGGAAAATAATGAAAAAAAGAAAAAGTGAGCAAATGAAAAAGATAAATGCTGTTTTTCCATGTGCTCTACACTTAAACATAGCAGTGTGTCTGTCTTATAAGAGAATTCATGGAGTGTCCAAAATTCTGCCATTAGTAAATTAAAGCTTTGAAAGGACTACATCAGAGAGATGTTAGTCTTGATGACAGTTAAGGCAATAGTGACTATAACAACAATGGTTTGTTTTATTTCTTCAAATGTAAGTATACTAAATGTTTATTGGGGAGATTTATTCAAAATTGCCTATTATATTAATGCAACTGATGAAGAAATATGCTAATTGTAATACAGTCCATTGAAATAAGATTTATTTATTAAACCAACACTTATAGAGAACATATATGCTAGATCTATATTAACAATACAATAGAAGTCATTATCTATTAGGTAGGCAAGACAGGGATCATTCATCCAATCAAATACATATATAATTATAAATTATGATGGATAATTAAAGAAATACACAGTACTCTAAGATCAGAAAATGAGTGATTGGATGTTAGAAAAATCTTCTCCAAAGAAGTGATATTTAAATCAATGTTCAAGATAAATAGATAATCTAAGGATAAGAACAGGACATTGTATTACCATGAATATGTGCTCAGTTAACCCTGGCCAGAAACAACACATACATTTGAGGAACTTAGAGGGCATTTATATATGCTAGGATCTATTTTAGAAACACGTAAAATTTCAGAGTATACCAACAACAGGTGACATTAAGTACCAATGGTTGGAACTGAGAAGGGGATAAGCAAGAGAAGAAAGAAGACAAAAAATAAATAGGCAGAAAAATAACTATTCTATGGCAATAAACTTAGGAATTTGATTAAGTCTCTGCTCTTGAGACTAAAACTGAAAAAATAAAAGTTATCAATACTCTCAAAGATTAAGAATCTATAATACTATAGAGAATACAGATATGTTGTGTATATTTACCAATTTCACATGAGAAAGGTAAACATTGTGTATTGCAAACACGTACTAATTAAAAAATAATACAAGAGGAGGCATCAAAAGTTATCCATCTTAAAAGCAGACTGAAAAAAAGTACATAGGATAAAGAAATCTTTGTCTACAATTTTGGAGTGAGACAGAGCATGAGTATTTTCGTTTCTTTCGTGAATGAATGCTATACTATCTCCATAATTTGTTGTTTTTTTTCTCTGAAGCCAAAGTTTCGCTGGTGGTCAGGGCTGATACACTCTCATGTACAGATTGTGAATAACATGATGATGCACAGTTCCATTTTTCCTTATGTCTAAAATAGGCATCCAGATCATCTCTTCCTAAGCTCTTAAATTACTTGAATCCAGGTCTATCAGTCTTGCTTCTTAATTAGTATTTCTAAGTCCATGCATTTATATTATTGATGCAAGTAAACAATCAACTTTTAAGATAGAAAATAGCACAAAGAGTTTTTTGATTGATCAACTGAGACATCACAACCATTCTTCATCTTTCAGGCCAATATCTAAGCATCAAGCAGACATTTCTCAACTTCCAATCACTTGGAATAACTTCATTTGTTTTTTGTTCACTGCCCTCACCAGCTTAGTGATGTGGATGTGGGGCTTCTACATCTTGGGGAGGAGCCACCTTGTCCCCTAAGTTCCAACTAATGAGAATTATACTCAAGTGGGCTCAATCTGTGTGGAGCATAGGAGCGTGAACATCCGTTCTTGAATCTGCTTGGTCTTGACTCCATAGACAAGAGGATCCAGTGCAGGAGGAAGTAGCAAGTAGAGATTAGCAAGGATGACCTTGGCGCCAGAGGCTGTGAGTGGTCCAAAACGCTGCATGATCAAGAAAGAAAGCCTGGTCCGTAGAAGAAAATAATAACACAGACATGGGCTGTACATGTGCTGCCTGCTTTAGCACGTGCCTCAGGAGAAGGTAAATGCATCACTGTCTTCACAATCTGTCCATAAGTGTAGGCAATAAAGGCCATGTCCCCCACACCAAGAAAGATTGCCACAGCAAAGACATACAGGTTGTCCACAGTCCTGGCCCCACAGGCCAGCTTCACCACTGCCATATGCTCACAGTAGGTATAAGCAATTGTGTGTGAGCCACAGTAGGGCAGCCGATGGACTAGACTTGGAAAGAAAATGGCCAGTCCCATACCTCGAAGCATCACTAGGCCTCCCAACTTGGTGACAACAGCTGGGGTTACGATGGTTGTATAATGCAAAGGGTTACAGATAGCCACAACGCGATCCAAGGCCATGGCCACCAGCACCCCTGACTCCATAGCAGAGAATGCATGAATGACAAACATTTGGAAAAGACAGGCATGGGAGCCAATGGTTGTAGCATTAAACCAGAAAATGGCCAGCATCTTGGGCAGAGTGGAGAGAGAGAGGACCAAGTCAACAAAACAGAGCATGGCAAGAAACAAAAACATGGGCTGATGAAGCCTGTGTTCTGTCCATATGAGAAAAAGCAGGACACCATTTCCAGTCAGTGCCAGGAAAAACATGAAGCAAAAGGGAACTGAGATCCAAATGTGGGCAGCACTCAGCCCTGGAATGCCAGCCAAGAAGAAAGTATGTGGAAAGAGATGAGAACTGTTCAAAAAATGGAAAGTCATCATCCTACATGGAAGAGCACACAGGGCCACTGCCAAGAGAGGTAGACAGGTGAGGTTCAGCGATGTGGAGATTGGAAACTCAGGCTATCTGCCCTCACTAATGCCAACACTATCACTTCACTTCTCAGAGAAAAAGTCAAAAATAAATTTCAGTTTAGCAGATATTTCTGCAAGTTCTTCAAACACAAGCTACTTGGTTGGAAATACATGGCACAAGAATTTCAAAAACCAGGTTACAAGATTATATATCCCACAAATATGTATGATCTGGGGAAATTCATATAACCACATTTAATAGATAAAAATGCTACTGAAAAAAACTCATTCCCATTGAGCTTATATTCCTAAATTCTGTATGCTGTGCTTGATTTAATCAACACTGACCCCAGATGGTCCTCTAGCCTCATCCCACTACACTTCACCTGAAACTGCAAACACCACATACAAAAAAAAAATGTTCAAAACTAAGTCTAGAATATCTCTTAATTCAGAGACATTCCGCTCTTCCAAACTTCATTTGACTGCCAAGGTTGCAGAATAATATATGCTCCCTCAGGACTTACACCATGGTCCAGGATCTTTCCTGGATAATTTTCATCTATTTTACTTGCTTCTTTACCCAGTATCTCAATAAATGACCTCACTACCTCCCAGATCTCCCTCTCCTTTGAGATGGAGAAGATGGTAAGTCACTGTTCACCTGGAATAAAAATAGTGGCAATAATAGTGATGTTAAGGACAAATAATACTGTATTACAGTCATCTTATTGAGACTAGGAGAAAAAATTGACAATTGTGCCTCTGAGCAGGCTACCACATTAAGAGTTTATAAGATTATTTATGTCCCTATTATGTATTATGTTCAATACTGTGAGTTCAATACTATCAATACTATGCTCTCTATTCATTACTATAGGATTGGAAAACTGGGGTCTGGAAAGAAGTAAAACCCAGCTTCACACCTGTTTATTAGTGAGTCAGATCATAGTTCACATCCAATGAGCATCAAACTGGAAGACATCATCTTGTCTCTATGTCAACTGGGGCTCTCACAAGCCAGGGAAGAATCCTCAGATCTTTTGGACTGGGGAAAGGGGAAGTACACAGAGATCAAATCATAGCACAGAGGAGGAAAGACCTAGGGGTAATTGCCTCTCTAAAATCTAAATACCTGAAGTACTGTGATCCTCTCACGTGAACAAAAAAACAAGAACACAAAAATACCTGAATCTAGGTTCTGAATGATTGTGAAATGTAAGAAATTATACATGTTCTACACATAAATATTATAGCCATATTGATTTTATAGTCCCAGTTACAACAATAACAACAAAATGTCTGTCAACATGAGGGAAAGAAGCAGAAATCAGCCTGGAACACAGTCCAAGAAAGGAGAAAGAGCACTCTTTTTAAATGACTAAGTTTCATTTCTTCCTCCAAGAGAAAAAACTTAATCACTTCCTTTATCTTCAAGATACACTTGTTAAGACAGCAATGTGATACTGACAGAAGGTGGGAGGTCTGGGAAGATGAGAAATATAAATGGGCCTGGAGTCCTGTATCATAGAATAGGCTCCAGGCATGACCCTGGCTCTTGGCACCTCTTCTGCCATATGTTTGCTGTGTTACCTGAAGCAAAGCATTTACTCATTTTTCAAACCTTAGTTTCAGCATCACACAGACATTGTCAGTATCAAATGAAATATAATATTTAAAATCTTGCCAAATGATGAAAAATTTTTATGGATTTATAAGTAGTAAATGGTGTATTTTGAGAGATCTGGTTAAGAATAATATAAACAAAAAATTGAGAGATAGTACAAAGAGGACCAGATAGATACTTTCAAGGGCAAATGATACGTCACAGTAAACAGAAATGAACTAATAAAAAACACATATCCTCCCTCACAATGTTCTCTTCTTTCTTCTCAATAGCACAGTATTTCCTTCAGCAATCTCAGAGTGTGGCATTGGGAGGGCAAGTGTCAAGAAATATGGCTTTGACCACCAGAATATCTGCTTTTAATTATCCTCAAGCCTGCCTATCCTTAAGCCTCTGTTTTCAGAATATTGAAATAATTATACCTGATGTCTCAACTATTCCCTCAGGGTTCAGAAGATGTCCCTTATTATATCCTCCTGCCTCAAGAAAAAGTCTGACCCAATAAGCTTAACTCTTCTACCTGTATCAAGGAAAGATAATGGGCCTAAAAAAAAAAGAAATCAGAAACAAAACTGTGATGTCCTTCCAAAGGTTTGCCTGTGACACACCATGTCAAAGAAGGATAGATTTCAAACAACCCACTCCTAAGCAAGAACTACAAGTCGGCCTGCTTCAGAGTAAAAACTGCTGACATACATAACCCCCTCCCTTGCCCATTCTACAAAACACAAAAAGTTGAAATAGGTTTCTAACAAGATATATGGTAGTGCCTATAATTTTAACTTGCCATAGTAAAATTGAAAGCATGAAATTTCCACTCCAAATAGGAAGGCTCTCCAAATTTGAAAAGTTAGAGGAAAGTTAATACATGGAGGTAACCTGTGTATGGCTCTCTTCTTTGGCCTACCATTAGTTATTACTCACCAAAGAGCTTCATTCATTGACCTCTACTGGGGTAAGAATTTAAACTACCAGATCCCAAGAACAGGGTGTTTAATGGGCACCTTAACAAACACTGTCTATAGGGATCCAAGGTGAAGATTTTACCACCTAGATAACAATTAGTATTTCTGCTTTCTCTTCAGTTGAAGTTCTAACAAGGCCCCTTCCTCTTATTGAGGCCTCAGGGAACAGCCCCAGCAGAGTATTTTGAACAGCATACTCCAGGGTGCCTAGCCAAGAGGGGATCAAGGCCTTTAGACAGGGCTTCCTGTCATGAAAAATGAGATTACCTGTGTAATGATGGTTCAGAAAGATCTGATACAGGGAACATGATGAAGAAAGCCTACAGGTGTTGTTCTCCAAGTTGTATCTGAGAATTCTGGCCTTCTTACACTGGTCTTCCTATATTGAACTCCTCTCAACCAACAAAATCACACCTAATAATATTACCAGGTCTATGGAGGATATTCAATATATGAAGGATCTGAATATTACATTGAGTCAAGAGAAATTAAAGAACTGAATGTGTTCAGCCTACACAGAAGACATACAGCATGTGCGATTTTTCAAGGATTCTTCAAATCCAGGAAAAAAATCCTGGTATGGAAAAAGTGATTTGTTTTATGAAGGCAAAGGAAAATCAGAGCAAACACATACAAATTTTTAGCTTATAACTCAGAAAGACTTTGCATTTTCAGAATAGTATTCTTAAGAAGAAAGTGATCAGCACAGACTATATTGAAAGGGAAGTGCACATGTTGATTGGGAATGATTAGAGCCCTTAATAAGAGCATCCATATAGTAGGTTATATTCTAAGGGTATGGAACACTTGTACAGGAAATAAGAAGATATAACACATCCAATTTCAGGTATAGGAAATGTCAAGCATCCTAACATAAAAAAACAACTTTCTAGGCAAGAAGTCATGCTCAAGACTGATGCTGCTATGATGACATGGAGATGGCAGGAAACGGGTATAATGAAGTAGCAGAACACTAGTCCAGAATCACAGTGGAGAAGAAGGAGTAGGCAGGGCAAGAAGCAAGAGGATAGACAGGTGACTGTAACAGAAATCAAGGCCCATAAAATAAATAAAAGTCTTAGAACAAGGACATTGGATCAGTGTGAATGTGAATCACATGAGTAAAGCTCTTAAAACCTAAAGTCAGAAATTCTAAAGCAAAGAGAAAAATTAAAGACAGGTGAAAAGAAGTATGGAAGAAGGTTTTGTGGAGATGGGAAGAGAGTCTGGGTAGGGAACCATGGGGAGAGGAAAGGAAAGTTAAAATGATTAAAATGTGATGTGTAGCCAGGCATGGAAACATGTGTCTGTAGTCCTGGCCTGGGAAGGTGAGGCAGGAGGACTGCTGTGAGTTCACAACAATCCTGAACTGTATAGTGAGACTGTGTCTTAAAAAGAAAAGAATATGTGTATGTATGAGTTTCCTAAGGCAAATATTAGTATACATCATAAACACATACCAGTAGATAGACAAACTGGGAAAAGATTATTCCAACACAGTAAGGAGTCTTTCACTTAGATCAATAATACAGATTAAAAACCAATTCCTGGCTTCCAGGAGAACATGACGGATAGATAGCAGCGGCTACAGAGGCTCTCTGAGATATCTTGCTTAAAATCTAGGAATGGTGTGGTAAGAGGAGTCCTAAGTAAGGGGAGATACACCCTGATGACCCAGGAATGAACTAAGCTAAGAGAAACCAACTGGAAATCCAATCCTGGTGCTATAACAGGAACAGATAAAATGTCAGTGCAGGAAGCTAGAACCCGCGCCACTGGAAGCCGCAATATGAATTTCCTACTGCCACTGCCGCATCCAAATCTGCAGGGGAAGGAGAGAGATGTTTGAAAGCTCTGAGAGCACGAATCTGTGAACGGAGTTGAGAGTGGGATTACACGGAGCCCTACATCGACTTGTGCTGAGTGAGCAGAATGGGGATCCTTTTATAGAGTAGGAGGCTCCAGCAAAAGACATACTGGGACCGGGCAGACTTGCCGGAACAGGGCACTGCAGTGACATTAGCCACATATTCCCCTCTCCAGCAGGATTGGTGGGGATTCCCTGGCCTGCGTGATGCCACTAAGACCCAGTAGGCTAGCCCAAACCAGGTCCCAGTGCCTGGAGGTGCACCCTAGCAATGAAGCCTTCAGTAGGTTGACCTGGAGGGGTGGGCCCAGCACAGGCTGCCCAGGTCTGTGTCTCCCTAGCACACTGCAGTGGGCGGGAACACCTAGCCGGCGCAATTCAAACAAACTGTAACTGAAAATGAGAAAAAAATTGGGCCTCCTACATTTGCTTGTATGAAAGGAACAAACAGTATAGGAAGAGGAAGCAACAAGAAAGGGTCCTCAGTCCCCAATCCTGAGAACACTGATCCAAGAAGGAGAAACGCAAAGGAAGACAGAAAACATGCAATGTCAGACACGGTAACAATAGACATAAAGCATATCTCCAGAGCCTCATAGACAAGTTTAAAAATGAAGTATTTAATGAAA